CCAGCAGTGGCAGAGCAGCAAAGCCTTAGGATGAACCAGGCCCTGACTCCATAAGCACCTTGGGACAGCAGCAGAGGAGCAAAGCCCTGGACCAACCCAGTCCCCTCTTCAAAAATCAGAAATGCCAGCCTGTATGATCCACAAGTTGCTAAAGAGTAGTGACACCTCTAACCTTCCCAGCCACTGCTTCACAGACCGAGGCAGTATTCTGATCCACTTGATAATAGTGACACGTCACAGGCTATCCCACAGTTCACAAGAGTACCAATGGTCTAATTTGAGTCAGGACAAGCATAAGAGAGCCCTTATGTCCCTACCCTGTCTTCCACCCAACCAGATAAAGAGATCCAGTCACAGAAGTTTCTGACTCCAACCCCCACGTGGGTGAATGACACCATCAGGAAAGCAAATTCCATTTTACACAGACAGCTTTACAAGAAAATCTGGAGCTGTGTCTCAGAAGCACAACAAAATGAAACAAACAAAATAACACAGCTAGAACTCTAAACACTTAATTGTCATTGCATATAAAATCCATAAATATAGGCCAAAACCACTACACATTAAGCCAAAACATGGCAACTATGTACTCTAATAAATAACAAGTACAATCAAAAGTCTCCTAATATAATGACAAAAAACATAGAGTATAACCAAAATGTGTCATCATAACAAAAACATGAAATACACAACCTGAACAAGAAATTATCAATGGATGCAAATGGACAAGATGAATCAGTTATTGGAATTATTTAACATGAAATTTAAAGCAGACATCATAAAAAATTTTTTAAAATTCTTTATTAAAGTATTACTGATATACACTCTTATGAAGGTTTCACATGAAAAAACAATGTGGTTACTACATCTACCCATATTATCGAGTCACCACCCATACCCCAAAGCAATCACTGTCCATCAGTGTACTAAGATGCCACAGATTCACTATTTACTTTCTCTGTGCTACACTGTTTGTCCTGTGTCCCTCCATACCATGTGTACTGAACATAATACCCCTCAATCCCCTTCTCCCTCCTTCCCTACCCACCCTCCCAGACCCCTTCCCTTTGATAACTGCTAGTCCCTTCTTGGAGTCTGAGTCTACTACTGTTTTGTTCCTTCAGTTTTGTTTTGTTGTTATACCCCACAAATAAGGGAAATCATTTGGCACTTGTCTTTCTTTTCCTGGCTTATTTCACTGAGCATAATATCCTCCAGCTCCATCCATGTTGCAACTGGTAGGATTTGTTTCTTTTTTATGGCTGAATAGTATTCCATTGTGTATATGTACCACATCTTCTTTATCCATTCATCTGCTGATAGACACTAAGGTTGCTTCCATATCTTGGCTATTGTAAATAGTGCTGCAATAAACATAGGGGTGCATATGTCTTTTGAGTCTGAGAAGTTGTATTCTTTGGGTAAATTCCAAAGAGTGGGATTCCCAGGTCAAATGGTATTTCTATTTTTACTTTTTTGAGGAACCTCCATATTGCTTTCCACAATGGTTGAACTAGCTTACATACCTACCAGCAGTGTCAGAGGGTTTACTTTCTCTGCATCCTTGCCAGCATTTGTTCTTCTTAGTCTTTTCCATGCTGGCTATCCTTACTGGTGTGAGGTGATATCTCACTGTGGTTTTAGTTTGCATTTCCCTGATGATTAGGGATGTGGAGCATCTTTTCATGTGTCTGTTGGCCATCTGAATTTCTTCTTTGGAGAACTGTCTTTTTCTATTCCTTGCCCATTTTTAATCGGGTTATTTGCTTTTTGGGTGTTGAGGCATGTGAGTTCTTTATATATTTTGGATGTTAACCCCTTGTCAGATATGGCATTTACAAATATATTCTCCCATACTGTAGGATGCCTTTTTGTTCTGTTGATGGTGTCCTTTGCTGTACAGAAACTTTTTACTTTGATGTAGTCCCACGTGATCATTTTTGCTTTTCTTTCCCTTGCTCAAGGAGATGTGTTCAGGAAGAAGTTGCTCATGCTTATGTTCAGGAGATTTTTGCATATGTTGTCTTCTAAGAGTTTTATGGTTCCATGACTTACATTCAGGTCTTTGATCCAGTTAAAGTTTACTTTTGTGTATGGGTTTAAACAGTAATCCAGTTTCATTCTTTTGCATGTAGCTGTCCAGTTCTGCCAACACCAGTTGTTGGAGAGGCTGTCATTTCCCCATTGTATGTTCATGGCTCCTTTATCATATATTAATTGACCATATATGGTTGGGTTTATATCAGGGCACTCCAGTCTGTTCCATTGGTCTATGGGTCTGTTCTTCTGCCAGTACCAAATTGACTTGATTATTGTGGCTGTGTAGAAGACCCTGAAGTTGGGGAGCATAATCCCCCCTCAATTTATTCTTCCTTCTCAGGATTGCTTTGGCTATTTGAGGTCTCTTTGTGGTTCCATATGAAATTTAGAACTATTTGCTCTAGTTCATTGAAGAATGCTATTGGTATTTTGATAGGAATTGCACTGAATCTATAGACTGCTTTAGGCAGGATGGCCATTTTGGCAACATTAATTCTTCCTACCCATGACCATGGGGTGTGTTTCCATTTATTGGTATCTTCTTTAATTTCTGTCATGAGTGTCTTGTAGTTTCCAGATTATAGTTCTTTCACTTTCTTGGTTATGTTTTATTCCTTGGTATTTTATTCTTTTTGATGCAACTGTGAGTGGAATTGTTTTCCTGATTTCTCTTTCTGCTAGTTCATCATTAGTGTACAGCAATTCAACAGATTTCTGTGTATTAATTTTGTATCCTGCAACTTTTCTGAATTCAGATATTAGATCTAGTAGTTTTTGGAGTGGATTCTTTAGGGTTTTTTAATGCACAATATCATGTCATCTTCAAAAGGTCTCAGTTTAACTTCTTCCTTGCCAATCTGGATGCCTTTTATTTCTTTGTGTTGTCTGATTGCCATGGCTAGAACATCCAGTACTGTGCTGAATAAAAGTGGGGAGAGTGAGCATCCTTGTCTTGTTCCCAATTTTAAAGGAAAAGCTTTCAAATTCTCACTTGTAAGTATAATGTTGGCTGTGGGTTTGTCATATATGGCCTTTATTATGTTGAGGTACTTGCCCTCTATACCCATTTTGTTGAGAGCTTTAGTCATGAATGGATGTTGAATTTTGTCAAATGGTTTTACAGCATCTATGGAGATGATCTTGTGATGTTTGTCCTTCTTTTTATTTATGTGGTGGATGATATTGATGGATTTTCGAATGTTGTACCATCCTTGCAACCCTGGCATAAATCCTACTTGATCATAATGGATGATCTTTTTGATGTATTTTTGAATTTGGTTTGCTAATATTTTGTTGAGTATTTTTGCATCTGTGTTCATCAGGGATATTGGTCTGTAATTTTCTTTTTTTGTGGTGTCTTTGCCTGGTTTTGGTATTAGAGTGATGCTGGCCTCATAGAATGAGTTTGGAAGTATTCCCTCTTCTTCTACTCTTTGGAAAACTTTAAGGAGAATGGGTATTAGGTCTTCACTACATATTTGACAAAATTCAGCGGTGAAGCCATCTGGTTCAGGAATTTTGCTCTTAGGTAGTTTTTTTATTATGAGTTCAATTTTGTTGCTGGTAATTGGTCTGTTCAGATTTTCTATTTCTTTCTGGGTCAGCCATGGAAGGTTGTATATTTCTAGAAAGTTGTCCATTTTTTCTTGGTTATCAAGTTTGTTGGCATATAATTTTTCAGAATATTCTCTAATAATTCTTTGTATTTCTGTGGTGTCCGTAGTGATTTTTCCTTTCTCATATCTGATTCTGTTTATGTGTGTAGACTCTCTTTTTTTCCTTGATAAGTCTGGCTAGGGGTATTTCTTTGGAACAATGTATGTTCATGTCCTCTGCCCTTTTTTAATTGGGTCATTTGTGTTTTTGGTGTGAGTCATATGAATTCTTTACATATTTTGGGTGTTAACCCCTTATCAGATAAATCATTTATAGACATATTCTACCATCCTATAGCTTGCCATTTGTTCGGTTGATGATGTCCTTAGCTGTATAGAAGCTTTTTTGTTTGACATATTCCCGTTTGTTCATGTTTTTATTTTGTTTTCTTTGGGCAGGGAGATGTGTCCAGAAAAACAGTGCTCATGCTTTTGTTTAAGAGATTTTTGCCTGTGTTTTCTTCTAAAAGTTTTATGGTTTCATGTCTTAGATTTAGGTCTTTAATCTGCTTTGAGCTTACTTTGGTGTATGGAGTTTGTATTTTTAGTTTTTAATCTTTGCTGTTTAATTGTATGAATCTGTATGAATAGTACTGAGCCATTGTACTTTTTCTTTTTTCTTTGAAGGTTGAGGATTAAGAGAATATGTATATGTATATATAAAGATATATAAATAGGTTTTCGCTCTGTACATATACATGTTTGTTATCTATCTCTGTATCTTTTATATTTGTATATGTGTTCAGTTTATGTATATGAATGTGCTTAGCTAGGGTGAAGAGAATACAGATATTTTCTTTATTTGTATATGTAAAAGATGCATTTATATACATATTCTTTGTACATATATCCATTATATAGCTTTATATGTCTGTTATTTCCGTATATGTATGTACATAAATAAATAATGTGCTTATCAAGTTGCTCTAGTTTGCCCACTCTTAACCTAAAGGTTGAATCTCATAATTTCTTTAGGAATACTTCATTATTTTAGCTGTATGTACATTTATTCCAGCTTTGAGTAAGTTGACTATATAAATAAAATTGTGTATTTTCTATATTTGATAATTGCTCTCATTTTAAAACTTGAGAGCATAGACCAAATATATCCTTCCAGTTCATTAATTTCATAAATTAGAACATTTAAATCACTAATATGTTTTACTCATTGATCTTTGATTTTAAAGTTAATGAATGACCTATGAATCTTCTGAAAACAATTTCTAAATTTTTGTCAAGTTTTAAAAAGTGCATTTGTTTCTTATATTAAATTTGAAAAATTTTCTTCATGTAATTTCCTTCTAGTTCAAGCCCATGAAGTTCGTCAGAAAGTTTTGGCAACTGATGTTGGTTCTAAAAATACACCTGACTCAAGAAAAATGTCAAGTAAAAAACTCAAAGATCAACACCCTGAAGCTGATGAGGACTTTTACTTATCTGTTGGCTCACCTTCCATTCTTTTGGGTGCAAAAACAGCTACATCGCAAAATGCTATTCCATCTATTGTCCAAAAGAGAGAGACCTATGCTTTAGAAAATTCAGTAAATACTCTGTCTTCGAGTACAGAGATTGCTCGTAAAACCAGAAAAAGGTGATTTTTTATTTATTTAAGTAATACTACTCTATAAAAATTTTACCTTTCATAGTAAAAAGTGGGCAGTTTAATCTTTTCTGTATTTTATAGTTAAGTATTGAGGAGTATTAACATGTTATGAGAAGAATATAACATATATTCAGTTTATAGTTAATGAGGAAGGCCTTAAAGGGTACTTCAGTGGTTTGGGGCTTAACCTTTCTGTGGTCTGTGGAAAAATGTTTTTTTTCCCAATAATGTGTTTTTTAATAACTTAAGAGAAACAATTTGTATTTCCTTTGGTTTTTGTAATACAAGGGTAATTATGTATCAGGTCATTTTTAGGGTGAAAATGATTATTGATGAGTTGTACTAAACCTGTATCTATTTCTTGGGATTTTCCCTTTGGTCTTTAAGAGGCAAAGTAGATTGTCCAAGGTCCGTGCCTTCTGGGGACTTCTGCAATGAGTGTAATTAATATCTGTCTATGGTCTTGTGTGATTCTTGGAGGTAAGGAGTTAAGTACTAAGACTTTACTTTTTGAATTGTGGTCTGTGGCTCAGGATCAAGAGTAATGGCATAATCTGGAAGCTTGCTAGAATTGCAGAATGTCAAATCCTACTCTAGACCTACTGAAACAGAGTCTACATTCAGTTAGATTCTCCAAAGGATTCAAATTCATATTAAATGTTTGTAAACTAGTGCTTTGAGCTCTACATTTCCTTGATGTATGATTTAATTAATTTTTTCTATTGATAAATGCAAAATTTAATTTCTTTGAGCAATTTGCTTCATATCTTTTGTGTAAGAGATTACAAATTTAAGATAAAGGAAAATTTTGTAACTCTGTTGTCATTGTAAGGGGAGTTCAGGAAAACTTGTAACAAGCTGTGGGAGCATTCAGTCTGCCTTCTTTTTAACTTTTTAGGTTAAACTTTGAAGATAAAGATGTTTCAAAGAAATTAGAAATAGCGAGTAAAGTAGAAGTAGAGGATAAAGTATCAGAAGGACCACAAGAGAGGAAACAGTCAAGAACATCTCATAAAAGAGTACAAGATTCAGAATATGACATTCAACCAGAATCTAAAAAGAGTTTTTCAACATTGTTTTTAGAAACTGTAAAAAGAAAAAGTGAGTCCAGGTGAGTTATTAAGAGACTGTCCTTTGAGATACCTTTCTTTCACATTCTATGAACCATATCTAAGAATTCTTAATGCTATTTAACTAGAAGTTAATCTTAATTGACATAAAATTTAATTGATAATATACCTAAAACATACGGAGAGTATAGTTTCTTACGTAAATCACCTCTAAAGCCATCATTTAAAAATAAGTTAGATGTGAAAGAAAATGTTTATTCAACTTTCATTGCTTCTGCTTATCAGTGCTTGTAGTTTGTATGATATAAAAGAATGAAGGTAGTATTTAGAAATAGAATATGTCAGGGTGCCTGGTTGCACTATTAAGGGTTTTAGATATTATTTCTATTTCTTCTGATTATGTCAATGAAAGAATAGTCCTACAACAAATCTTAATCTGTTCTTGCCTACTTAAAAACATTCAGTGGTTCTATAGTGTCCACACAATGATTCTTAACTGTAGGTACACATTAGAGTTAATTAGAATTAATGGCAGCTAGGATTGAGAACCACTGGTCTATAGAATAAATTTCAAATTTGTCAGCTAGTATTGCAGGCCTTCTCTCTCCCTAGTTAACTGCTTCTGCCAACTTGGTCATACACATTTGTAGTTACACCTGCTGTGGTATACCGTCTTCCCTTGTCATATGCCAATCTCCATTTTCTTTTAAGGCCCATTCTAGGCTTCTAGTTTTTCCCAAGTCTCACTCCAGTGTTTTTTAGTTTCTTGCCTTGTATTATATTTTAGCTATTTTATGTCTTTTTTAGTAGAATTAGACCTAAGCCTTTCTTTCTAGGAGTATAGAGTTTCTTTTATGTTTTCTGTGGTAGCTATCAGAATGCTTATGAATATATTAGGAAGATTTTTATAAAAACATTGAATGAATGGATTAAATTCTTCCTTTGTTCAATTTCTGTTCCACAGTTGGTTTCTCTCTCTCTCTTTATCTAGCATCTTTTACTCCATGTATGAATTTTGTCCCCACTATCTGGTACAAATATGTTGCACTTATGGGCTGATTATATATATGTCTAACAATTCAATTAAATATTTTTTTAAATGTTCTTTTTGAAAACTATTGAGTGAAGGTAATTTTATGTGTAATTCTTGCAGTCAGATATAACAATTAATCTTGGTGCTTTCTTGCTTCATTGCTTTTGCTTATGCTCTTCCTTCTAATTCTTTCTTGTATTTCCTTATGAACAAGTCTTACCCATCCTTAAAAATCAGTCAGCTCAGAGCTGTACTTTGCTCAACTACCACAAAGTCTTGATTTTTAAACTTAATCAGAAGTCATCTTTCTCTGTTCTGAACTTTAATAAGATTGTCTTCATCCATTCTGGCTACTGTAACAGACTACCATAGACTGGGTGGCTTATAAACAACAGAAACTGGTTTTTCACAGTTCTGGAGGCTGGGAAATCCAAGGTTAAGCTTGAGTAGATTCAGTGTCTGTTGAGGTCTGGCTCATCTTCCTGGTTCATAGATGGTAGCTGTCTTCTTGCTATAACCTTACATGGTAGAAGATGGCAAGGGTACTTTCTGGGATCCCTTTTATAGGTACTAATTCTATTCATGAGCACTCTTATCCTCAGCACCTAATCAGTTCTTAAAGGCTCCACCCTCAAAATACCATCACATTGGGGATTAGGTTTCAATTTATAAATTTTGGAGGGATATAGATATTCAGTCTATAGCAAGTGTCCAGGTTGTTTCCTAATGATACTTGTGGTTTGAATAACCTTGAAGTTGTGAAAATACCTTAAAGTAGAATAGGGGAGCAAATTTGAAGATTTCTTGTTAGCTGGTTTGGGAAAGCTTCATTTTAAAATTCTTAGCATTACTTTTTCACATATAGAGAACTAATAGATACTACAAATTATATTCAATAAGGCAAATTAAACCTATTTATAATAGATGGGCTATATCTTTAAATGTTGAAAATAGTATTCCTGCTTAAACATGAATTCATTGTGGTCTTCTATTTATATTGTCCTTGTTTATTACTAGATTTTCTTGAGTTTTCTAATTATATAAACTTGTAAAACTAATGTATTAGAAGACATTATATTTCTTAGATTGTATACATACTATTTTACATTATAAGGTTTATTGGAGGTTTGAGATTAGAGAAGTGGAGAAGGTATTTTCATTTCATGATCTTTTTGTATAAAATCTTAATAATTAAGAAAAAAACCCAGATGTAATAATCCAGTTCTTCTAGTTCTGCTTCTACTCTATCTAAAAATCTCTAGGCATCCTTATTCAAGTGAAAAAGTAGAAACAGAAGTGCATCTGCTTGCTTTGAAGTTTGGATATTTGTACTAAATTTTCACTTTTGCATGTCATTTCAATATGTGGTTTGTTGAAAGCTGTGTCATAAAAAGGAAGGAAATACAAAATGAGTCCATCAGATTACCATTCTTTTGGATAATTCCCTCCTTCTTTAGAAAGCTTTCCTTTGGAAAAGGAAAGAGGTGCTGTTTAATTCCAATGCAGTTACCTTTCTAGCTACACTTCTTTTATTGATGTACCATGATTGTAATATTAAAATATATGAAAATGTGTGTAAATTATTCAAGCCTGGAATGAATTTTTTACAAAATATAATTTACTGTATAATTTAGTAGTGTTTTCTTAGAATATTGGACTTGACAGTGTCTCAAATAATCTTGTTTTAGATTTGAAGAAATTCAGTTCCCGAAAGGTACTGTCTATATACAAACATACAATTGAATACAACATTATAAATAATAATGGCATGCATTTTGGGCTGAGTTTACATACCTTCAGTTTGGTTGATGTCTAGGTTTCCTTACAACTCTGAATTTCTGTGATCCCACTAATGTTATAAATGAGTGTGATCAGATATAGAAATGTAAAAGGAGAAAAGGATTTTTAAGGGTAAGGGAAAATTGAGAATACATGTGAACTGTTCTTTAAAAGTTAAGTGATTTTATTTCCTGTATAGATTATTTTCTTTCCTAAGCAAAAGTAAAAATTTTATTTTTTTGAGCTATTATTTATTGTAACATCCTGTTTTAGTTCTATTGTTAGGCATATAGCAACTGCTCCACTTCATTCGTCTCCTGTAAATGATATGAAGTTGTTAGAGGATGAATTTATAATTGATGAATCAGACAGAAGTTTTGCCAGTCAGTCTTGGCTTATCATGCCAAGAAATGCTGGGTCTTTGAAACAACGCACAGTGTCCCCTCCTGAGAGCACTGCACTCCTTCAAAAGAAGAAGTCAAGAGAAAATCACAATATATTGCCTACAACTTTGACAAGTGACAAACACTCTGGCAAAGCTTACCCAGTAGAGAAATCTCAACCCTCTGAACAAAAAAAACTGAGTAGGAGTTTTGCTTTATCAGATGAAATGGAAAATAATTGCAGATCTACAAAATATGAAATGTATTCTGAGAATGCAGAAAAGTCTTCCAGAAACAAAAGGACTATAAAACAAAAACAGAAAAGAAAATTTAAGGCCCCTATAGTTGATAAACAGGTTGATACAGAACAATCTAAAGGTAAAAATAGAAATATATCACCCATCATCCAAGACAACTTACAAAGAAATTCAAACAAAAATACAGAACAGTGCAAAGAGATGGGAAATGTTCGTAGTTCCAAAAAACAGATGCCACCTGTGGGTAAGTGTTTATTTTAAATATAATCATGAGTGTTATACTATCACTTTGTGTTTTTGTAATATTCCTTTGTAATATTTAGTTTTGGGAAGTAGGCAAAGTAAACCTAAGTCTACAAAAAGCATTAAAAACCTAGAGGCTTTTAATTTTATATTATATATAACTCAATTCCAAGTCACTTGATTTCTGTTTAGATTCTAAGATGGCAGCATTTATAAAGGGAGAAATGAAAGGAAAAGACTAATAAACCAGGTAGTTAACCAGAACACAACACAGCATCATATATTCTTGAAGTTTATTAAAATATAAATTGGAAAAAAATGGGACTACTTAAAGAATAAAATTGCATATTCTTCTATTCAATCATTTATTCATTTATCCAAGTCATTAAATACCAGACACTGTATTAGGAACTGAAATCACAGAGATTACTAAGACAATTTTCACCATTAAAGCAGATCAGTTTGGTAGTGTCTGTAGACCAACAAATATACATACATTCATAGGATGATCATAGAAGCACAGAGAAAATTATCTAATGTCTCAGTAGATCTTTTTATCTTGGATTACTATATCATTTGTCACTCAAACTGGTATACTTGAGAATGTGAGAGGATGTTGGGACAGTAAGCATAAACTGGCATTGTCCCAAACAAACCTGGAGTATGGCCATCTTCCTTGTGTTATTACTTTATAGTGATTGAGGTTTGTAATTATAACAATGTCCAGAAGAAAAGATAAATTTATGTATTTTGTACCACTTGAAGTAATACAAACGGCAGTTATTCTTAGAGAAAGCATTTTCTCCAGAATAGTTAATGGAAAATAAAACACCTATGAAATGTATTAGACACTTTATATGTATGTAATATAATTTAATCCTTTTTGATGATCCTAAAGTAGGAGATAATACTCGAAAGAGGGTTAAAAAATACTGGCCCAAGATCTGCCCCATTGTAGAGCTAATATTTTTTCAGCTCTATCAAGAAGGTTTGAAACAGTTAAAAATGTTTTTGATACTTAAATGGAAAACCATTAGTTAACCAGAAAACTCTCTTGACCAAAATTGTCTATGTGCCTAAAGGTTCTAGATGAGTATACTGTATTGCTGATACAGAGGGGAGAAAGAGTATATTGAAGCACAATATATTTAAGCTAATTTTTATAAGAACAAATTCTGCTTTAATGGAATATAGTTATCACTTAATTACTCAATTACTTTAGCTTTCTTTTTGTATAATCTGTAACATAGACTTTTTCTCCCCTGAAATAATAATAATTGTCAGACTTCAGTTCTGTTTGTGCCTTTTTGTATTTGAAAAATTCTGCTTAAAATAGAGGGAAGAAAGATATCTTTTCAATTTTGTAGACTTCCTTTGTAAATGTCAGACATATAACATTCTTTTTATTAGAATTGTTATTTTTTTTGCTTCCTTGAGAGTCTGATATCAGTTGGCCATTTTAAGGAAATACAACAAAGAATTTCTGACTAAACTGAAGTTGATAGTCACAGGAAAGTCTTTTTCTTAATAGCCCCTTAAGTAACATATAAATTTACAAAATTTGAAAGTGTGAAATTTGATTTATCCATAAATCTTAGGAAAAAAAGTAAAGAAAGTGTACTTAAAGGATACTCATATTGATGTTGAACATTTATTGAGTACCTGATAGATATATATATTCTGCACACTAATTTTTCCATGTATTGAAATTTTATTTTTATTGATAGTGGATATAATGTATGATTAATTACCATACAAATTGTATTAACTTTGTATTGCTATCATAACAAGTGACTACATATTTAGTGGCATAAAACAACACACGTTTATTACCTGTAGTCCTGTGAGTCAGAAGTCTGAAATGGATCTCACTGGGGTAAAATCAAGGTGTTGACAAGGTTGCATTCCTTTCTGGTGGTTTTAGGAGAGTATCTTCCCTTGCCTTTTATAGGCATTTAAAGTCACTCATATTCCTTGAATCTTGATTCCTCTCTTGCATCTTCAAAATCAGCAACACCAACAGTCTCACATTTCAAATTTTTCTTGACTTCCATTGTCCTCTATCTCTCTGACTATTACTTTTAAGGACACAAAGATAATATAGTTTACTATGTTCTCTTCGCTGTACTTTTACCCCATAACTAATTTGTTTTAAAATTACAAGTTTATACCTCTTTATCTGCTTGACCTACTTTGCTCATTCCCCTAACCCCCTACCCCATGGCACCCACCAATCTGTTCTTTGTTTATGAGTCTCTTTCTGTTTTGTTTATTCACTTATTTTTTTACATCCCACATATAAGTGAAATCATGTATTTGTCCTTGTCTGACTGACTTCACTTACCATGATACCCTCTAGGTGCATCCAGGGTGTCACAAATGGTAAGATTTCATTGCTTTTTTATAGCTGAGTAATATTCCATCATAAATATGTACCACATCTTTATCCAGTCATCTGTTGGTGGACATATAGTTTGCTTCCACATCTTGGCTACTGTAAATAATACTGCAGTAAACATAGGGTTGTATATATCTTTTTGTATTAATGATTTTATTTTCTTTGGTTAATCCTCAAAAGTGGAATTACTGGATTGTATGGTTGTTTTATTTTTAATTTTTGAGGGACCTTCATACTGTCTTCCACAGTAACAGCACCAGTTTACATTTCCATCAACACTGCATGATGTTTTCTCCACTCTCTCCCTTTTCTTTACATCCCACCCACATTATTTCTTGTCATTTTTAAACTAGCCATTCTGATTGGTGTGAGATGTTAACCTCCCTGTGGTTTTGATTGCATTTCTCTGATGATTAGTGATGTGGGTTTCTTTCTTTTCATGTGTCTGTTGGCAATACATGTATATTTTTCCCTTTTTCTATTGAAGTATACTTGATATACAATCTTGTATTAGTTTCAAGTATGCAACACATTGGTCAGTGGTTACCCATATTATTAAATCCCACACTAGTACAGCTATCTGTCAATATAGGAAGATGTTACAGAATCATTGACTATATTTTCCATGCTTTACTATTATCCCCATGACGAACCTACATTATGATTTTTGTGCCCCTTTAATCCCCCTCAACTTCCCCACTCATCCACCCACTTCAACCCCTCTTCCTTCGTAACCACCAGTCTCTTCTCATTGCCTAAGAGTCTACTGCTCATATTTTGCTCATTCTATTTTGATTTGTATTTATATTCCACAAATAAGTGAAATCATATGTTATTTGTCTTTGTCTACCTGGCTTATTTCACTTTGTATAATACCTTCTACATCCATCCATGTTGTTGCAAAAGGCAGGATTTCTTTTTTATGACTGGATAATATTCCATTGTGTATATGTACCACATCTTCCATATCCATTCATCTTTTGATGGACACTTATGTTGCTTCCATAACTTGGCTATTTTAAATAATGTGGTGATAAACATAGGGATGCATCTATTTTTTTTGATGAGAGATTTTGTTTTCTTCAGGTAAATTCCTAGAAGTGAAATTACTGGGTCAAATAGTATTTCTGTTTTTAGGTTTTTTGAGGAACCTCCATACTGCTTTTCAAAGTGGCTGCACCAATTGACATTCCCACCAACAGTGTAGGAGGGTTCCCGTTTCTCCAAATCCTCACCAGCACTTGTTATTTCTTGTCTTTTGATAGTGGCCATTCTGACAGTGTGAGCTGATATCTCTCCTGGTTTCGATTTTCATTTCCCTGATGATTAACGATGTGGAGCATCTTTTCATGTGCCTGTTGTCCCTGTGTATTTCTTCTTTGGAAAAATGTTCAGGTCCTCTGCTTATTTGTTATTTGTTTTTCTGGTGTTGAGGTATATGAGCCTTTTATATATTTTGGATGTAACACTTTATCCAGACATACCATTTACAAGTAAATTCTCCCATATGTAGATTGCCGTTTTGTTCTGCTGGTAATATCCTTTGCTGTACAGAAGCTTTTTTGTTTGGTGTTATCTCATTTGTTTTTATTTTGTTTCCCTTCCCAAGGAGATGAGTCCAGGAAAAAATTGCTTGTACTTATTTTCAAGAGATTTTTGCCTATGTTTTCTTCCAAGAGTTTTATGGTTTTGTGTATTACATTCAGGTTTTTGATCCATTTTGAGTTTACTTTTGTGTATGGAGTTAGGCAGTAATCCAGTCTCATTCTCTTGCATGTGGTTGTCCAGTTTTCCTAAGACCAGTTACTAAAGAGGCTGTCTTTTCCTGATTGTTTATTCATGGCTCCTTTATTGTATACTAATTGACTATATATGCATGGGTTTATATCTGGGCTGTCTGTTCTATACCATTGATCTATGGATCTGTTTTTGTACCAATACCATATTATTTTAGTTACTCTTGCTTTGTAGTGTAGCTTGACGTCAAGGAGTGTAATATGCCCAGCTTTGTTTTTTCTCTGGATTGGGCTGTCTATTTGGGGTTTTTTGTAGTTCCATATGCATTTTAGAACTCTTTGTTCTAGTTCATTGAAAAATGCTGTTGGAGTTTTGATAGGGTTTGCACTGAACCTGTAAATTGCTTTGGGAAGGCTTGTCATTTTGACAAAATTAATTCTTCCTATCCATGAGCTCTGGATACATTTCCACTTAGTTGTGTCTTAATTTCTCTCATGAGTGTCTTACAGTTTCAGAGTACAAGTCTTTAACTTCCTTGGTTAGGTTTCTTCCTAGGTATTTTATTATTTTTGATGCAATTGTAAATGGAATTGTTTTCCTGATTTCTCTGCTAGTTCATTGTTAGTATATAGGAATGCAACAGATTTCTGTGTATTAAATTGTATCCTGCAACTTTGCTGAATCTAGTTACAAGGTCTGTTTTTTTTTTTGGTGGATTCTTTAAAGTTTTCAAATTTGTATCATGTCATCTACAAATAGTGACAGTGTAACGTCTTCCTTATTAATTTGGATGTCTTTTATCTGTTTGTGTTGTCTAATTGCCATGGTTAGGAACTTCCAGTACTATGTTGATTAATAGTGCTGAG